ACTAATCTTTGACAAGGTGCTATGGTTTAAACGTTGCCTCCAAAATTCCTACTAGAACCTAATCCCCAGTGTGGCAGAATTGAGAGGGAGAGCCTTTCAGAGGTGATGGAGTCCTGAGGACTCTGCCCTCATGACTGGATTCATTCATTCACAAATAGACGAGTTACTGGATGAAGGTATCACACAAGGGGAGCTGGTGGCTTTCTGAGAAGAGGAAGAGGGACCTGGGCTAGCATGCTCAGCCCCCTCTGCACGGAGGCCCCATGCCACTGTGGAACTTTTCCGAAAGTCTCCACCGTTAAGACAGCTGTCGCCAGTTGCATCCGCTGGGCTTTGGACTTCCCAATCTCCATAACCAAAATAAATATATGCCTTTTCTTTATAAATCACCCAGTTTTGGGTCTTCTGTTGTAAGCACCATAAAATGGACTTAGACACAAGGGCACCGATACACAGTGGGGAGAAAGCAGCCTCTTCAATACACGGTGATGGGAAAACTTGTCCACGTGCAAAAGAATGGAATTGTACCCTTATCTCCCACCATGCAAAAAAATCGGCTCAAAATCGATTAAAGCTTTAAGCATAAACCCTGAAACTATAACACTGCTAGCAGAAAACACAGAAGAAAAGCTCCTTGACTTTGGTCTTGGCAATGATTTCTTATGACAGCAAAAACACAGGCAACAAAAGCAGCGTGAATGAGACCATGTTTCATTGAAAGTCTCTGCACGGCAAAAGAAACAACATGAAAAGCCAGGGTACAAAGTGGAAGAAAGGTAACCAGTCTGAAAATGGGCAAGGGGCCCGGGCGGCGTTTTTCCAAGGAAGGCGTGCAGATGGCCAGCGGGTTTACAAAAAGGTGTTCACATCACTAGTCGTCCGGAACGCAAAACCACGGGGAGCTGCCACCGAACACCCATTAGGGTGGCTGCCATCAAAAAGCCCACAGGTAGCTAGTGTTTGGGGACACTGTGGAGAAAAGGGAACCTTTGTGACTGTCGGTGGGAATCTATTAAACTGGTACAGCCATTACGGAAAGCAGCGTGGGGGCTCCTCAGAAAAGGATAGGGCCACCACAGCATCCAGCAATCCCGCTCTGGTGTTTATGCAACCCAGTGGAATCTGGATCTCAAAAAGATGCCTGCACGCCCATGTCCGCTGCAGCACTGCTCACAATAGCCAGGACACAATCAACCCAGGGGTCCCTCAACAGACCAACAGATGGAGAAGACGTGGCGTGGATACACCGGGGAGAGCTGCTCAGTCTTGAAACATGAGCGGATCTTGTCATTTGCAGTAGCCACAGTGAACCTGGGGACCTTACGCTAAGTGAAATAAGCCCGGCGCAGAAAGACAAACGCTGTGTGGTCTCGCTTATGCGTGGAATCTGAAAAAGCAAACTCGTGAAAAAGCAGAACACTGAGGGCTGGGGGAGGGGAGTGAGGAACGGGGAGGGGTCGGTCGAGGGTCGCCAAGTTTCGGTTATAAGGCGAGTAAGTTCTGGAGCTCTGAGGACCAGGGTTAACGATACAGCATTGCACACTCGAAATTTCCTAGGAGAATAAATCTTGTGTTCTCACTACAAAAAAGGGGCTATGTGAGGTGATGGATGTGCTCACGAGGTTGGCAGTGACGATCCTTTCACAGTGTACACAGCAAATAGGTACAAATGTTTTGAGCTGGGCGCCTCGCCCTCTTGCCCAGGCTGGAATGCGGTGGCACAGTCATAGCTCACCAGAGCCTCAAACTGCCGGACTGAAGTGATCCTCCCATCTCAGCCTCCCAAGGACCTGGCACTATAGGCATGTGCCACCATGCCTGGCTGCTTTTTTTAGTTTTTGTAGAGACGGGGATCTCACTATGTTGCCCAGGCTGGTCTCAAGCTCCTGGCCTCAAGGGATCCTCCTGCCTCAGCCTCCCAAAAATACTGGGATTATAGGAATGAGCTACAGCACCCAGCCAATAGATACAATTTTTATTTGCCAATTATGCCTCAATAAGGCTGGGGGGGGAAAGGTTAAAAATATATACATTTAAATGTAAAACTTCCATGATTTCTTTTAGTAATGTTACAGTTTTTGGTTTTAGGTTTTAATCTTTTTAATCTTCTGACCCTCTGGAATTTTTCTGATGTGAGATCTCTGTGAGTTAGGTTACCAGTTCCAGGAGCTAAGTCAAATTGTCTTATCCCTTGAGAAAAGGAAGATTTCTTTTGCTCAAGACACACTGAAAGTCCAAGAGTAACAGCTGAAGGCACAGCTTGGCCCGGGAGCACAGATGGTGTCCTGGGGTGCCCCCTTTCACCCGTGCTGGCTTCATTCTTAGGTCTTCCCTAAAAGGTAGGGAAAAGGCACCCATGGCCACAGATGCCCTTTCCTGCTTAGTGAGCCCAGGCAAAGCCATTCTGAGACTGCTTCCCACTTAAGTTGTGGAGCTGTGGTGTGTCTACCACGGATAGCTCTGGTGTTTTACGGGGACTGGATGCACAGACGTGATCTCAGTGGGTCCTTCTGCCCAGGGAGGGCCTGTCCTTCTCCTGGCTCGGTCCTCCAAGCCCCCGGCAGCACAGCAGCCTTTCCTCCGAGCCCTGCGCTGCTCACTGATGCTCCCTTTGCTTGTCGTGAGGGGCAGGCAGCTCCTTCCCCAGAGCAGGAGAGACGACAGGAAGAGCGGCGTCGGCCAAAGCCCCCGCTTCCAGCTGTGGTCTGGGAAGAGAAGGCTGACCCCAGGAGTAGGAGCACTCCCCTCAGCCCCCAATCCTACTCGGCCTCAGCCTCCAGGGTGGGCAGGAGGGGGAGGCAGGGAAGGGCCACACTCCCTCTGGAAGGCAGGGTTGTGCCACCTCTGTCTGCACACATGGTCCCGCGGTGGCCTCTGCTTGGGTGCTGCAGGGGAGGGGCCTCCTCTCCCTACCTCTGGGAACTGCAGGACCCAGGGTCTGATTTCCTCCGACAGGGGCAGCCAGAGGGCTGGGGCCAGACCCCGCAGCCTACCAGCCCCCGGAGGCAGCTACTTTTGCTGCCCGTGTCGGTGAGGTTGGTATTTTAAATGTTTTGACATTTAAAATCTGTGTTGGATACATTGGTGCTGTTTACGCCGGGGCTGTGGTGACTCACGGAATTGGTTTGTCTCCTGAGGCTGGGCCCAGCCATCCCCCGCCCCGCTCCCAGCAGCCAGAGTGGGCAGAGGCACTTTCTACCCGCCCCAAGCCTCATCGGCACCTTGTCATCCTGCAGAAGGTGGACTTCAGCCAGGGCAGCAGAACGTGGGGGGCGTGGGGGTGGCCCCAGATCCCAAAGCCCATGTGGGGGAGGGCAGAACAGACCTGCCTCCCAGCAGGGTCAGCGGCGGTGGTGGTGGCTCTCAGGAGCCCATCGGGCAGGTGCAGGACGCTGCCTCCAGGGGTTCGAGTCTCCCCCTCCACGCATGTCCTCTGAGCTGTTTAGCAGATCTTTGCTCAAATGGAACCTGAGGGTGGACTTGGGCCGTCTTCTCCCTGAAGGTCTCTGAGTGCTTCTGAGTGGAGCCTGGTGCTTCGGTGGGAGCAGGAAGGACCGTCAGCCAGTGCCCAGAGCGGGCCAGGGAGAAAACCTGAGCGCCAACATTCCCGCCTCTCAGTGGCTGCCCTGTCCCGTGGCCACTGCCGCCTTCATTAGCGGGACAAGGCGAGGATTGTCCTCACTGGGGCCATCCTGACCTGAACTGTTGAGGCCACACAGCTCTGCTCTCCCTGGTGAGAGGAGGTCAGCAGGGAGGTCCCTGCAGCCCAGCCAAGGGAACCCCCGTGGCAGATATTCCTGGACTTCCTACGGAAATCATAGCCACCAGCCACAGAGCAGTACAGGCCGCTTCTCCAACACACCCAAAAGCTTCTCGGAATCAGCAATTCAGCATGAGGGTCCCGGGCAGCCTGGCAGAGAGGGCAGCCCTCGTCCCCAGCACAAGATGGAGCGGTCCCGGGCAGCCTGGCAGAGAGGGGCAGCCCTCGTCCCCAGCACGAGATGGAGCCTGCAAAGTGCAGAAGCCAGAGGCGCCGGGATCTGGCTTGCAGGGAAGAGCATCTTACAAAGAATCCAAGGCCAAGGACGCACTTGAAGCCTCTGATGGCTGTCCTTCCACCCCATGGAGGGGCTGGTTTCTCCATCAGAAGCCAGGCCAAGCCCGCCCTGGCTCGTTCCGGCTTGCTCCGCTGCTGCGCGTCCACAGATGCGTCCCCTTCCTGCTCTGAGCAGCAGCTCTGGCTGAGAGAGAGGCTGGGCCGCGGCCCCATCTGGGGAAGCCACAGCCACCTGGCCAGTGCCTGCAAAGTGGAGACTCAGCCAGGAGTCGCAGAAGGAGCAGGACTCGGCTCAAGCCAGGCTCAAATCCCGGCGCAGCCCCTCCCACGCCGGAGTCTCTGGGCAGACCTCTAGCCTGTCCAGGGCTTGGATCAGGCACACAGCGGCTGTGATGGCCCAGCCTCGTGGGTGGAAGCGGGCGGGGGGCGGGCAGTGGGGGCTCCAGGCGCTAATAAGAGGGGCCCTGTACCTTTCAGTGCCCTGAGAGGTAGCTGGGGTGGGCGGGAGGAAGGGGTTTCTGTTAGCGTGAGCTGTCAGGACCTGCGAGAACTGCCCGCACACAGCTTTGAGACCGGCCTCAGGCATGGACGCAACAGGCCCAGACCTGGGAACCTAGAGCCCAGGGCCTTTGCCACAGCCACACCCCAGTGACACCCCAGCGTGTGTGCTCCTTGCCATGTCCAGGCGGGACCCTCGGGAAGGGCTCGTGGAGGCATGGAGGTGGGGGAGCCTGCAAACTTCTTACTAGTCAGAGGCAGAGTCAGGGCAGGCTGGGAGCGAGCTTAGAACTGTGGCCGGGGTGGCCGTGTCTACGGGCAGCTGGGACAGGACTGGACCTCCCGAACCGGTGGTGACTGAGGGCCGCCAAGCGTGCAGGCCTGACACCCCGGCCAGCATGAGTCCCGCTGCCGGCCGTGACGTCCCACCCTTCCTCTCCCGCAGGTCAACACCTTCATGTCCTTCATATTCCCCATGGTGGTCATCTCCGTCCTGAACACCATCATCGCCAACAAGCTGACGGTCATGGTCCGCCAGGCCGCCGAGCAGGGCCAGGTGGGGGACCAGCACAACACGTTCAGCATGGCCATCGAGCCCGGCAGGGTCCAGGCCCTGCGGCACGGCGTACATGTCCTACGTACGTACTCTGGGCCCTCTGGGGTGGGAGGGGGGCCAGGGCCAGCAAAGGCAGCCAGCATGGAACCACCCCGAGCCTGGGCAAGGCTTAAAGACATGGGGATGGAGCTGTCAGGCCAAGACCCAAGGGTGCCAGCTCCCCCCAGGGGTGAGTGCCACCTACACTCCCTCCATCCATCCTTCCCTCCAGCCTTCCCTTCTGCCTCCTATCCCTCCATCCTCCCTTCACCCTTCCACCTCTTCCTCCCTCCCTCCGTCCCTCCATCCATCCGTCCACTTGCTTACGTGCTCACTCATTCCTTTGCTCTGCAGTCTGCAGAGTGCCCAACCTGGGTCTCACTCACTCTTGCTCACAGGTGTGCAGGTAGCAGAGGCAGGAGCAACCCTGTCCTCTGGGAGAGCAGGGGCTCCACCCAGGAAGCAAACACAGGCACCAGGCACCTTCAGCATGATGAAAAAAATACCACGCCCACCACTACATCTGGCATCTGGGAGGGGTTCCCAGAGCAGGTGGCATCCTGCAAGTCCCAAGGACCAGGAGCCCGTCTGGGCAACAGAGCTGTGGTGAGGAGTTGGCTGGAGCAAAGGCCCTGTGGAGGGAGGTGCTTGGCAAGAAGGCAGGGGCAGGGGCAGGGTGGACGCTGCTATCCACACAGGCCTTGGAGAGTGTGATGGGAACTGGAGAGAATGAAACCTTTTCACACCCGAGACCCAGGTCTTCAGTTGCTTTGCCTGAAGCATTTGGCTTGAGTCCTCCCTGGTGCTGGCCCATTTTCAGGGCTTGTTTGAGGGTGTGGCCAGCCACAGCAGAGGCCCACAGCCAAGCACATCAGCCTGAGAGAGCCTGGCTCTGGGCTCGGCCTTCCCTGCTCATGGGAGCCACCCAGGGCTTTGGACACAGAGCGCTCGGGGGCTGGTGACGCCCCCAGCAGGGAAGGGCCCTGCCCCTGCCCCTGCCTTCTTGCCAAGCACCTCCCTCCACAGGGCCTTTGCTATCAGAACCCTGAGGACCAGTGCCAGCACACGAGGCCGGCCGGCCGTCCTCTGAGGTGTGACCTGGGCCCAGCGTGCCCTGATTTCTTAGTAGTAGCTGTCCTAATAGGTTTGAGGTGGCATCTCCTTATGGTTTTGAGCTCTGTTTGTCCAGTGATTTGCGATGCATGATCGATAACATCTTTTCACGTGCTTGTCAACCTTTGACGTCTTCTTTGGAGAACTGTCTGAGTCCTCTGCCCATGTTTGAATTGGATTGTTTGTTTTTAGGTTGAGCTTTAGGAGTGCTGCTCTTGGTATTAACTCATTATCAGATGTGATGCAAATATTTCCCCCCTTCCTGTGAGCTGACTTCCACTCTCCTGATCACACCCTCTGACACACAGAAATTTAATTTTTATGTTGTTCAATGTATCTACGTTTTCCTTTTGTGACCTGTGCTTTTGGTGTCAAACCCAAGAAATCATTGCCAAACTCAATGCTGTGAAGTCAGAATGTTTTCTCCTAGGAGTTTTATAGTTTCCGATCTTTTTTTTTTTTTTTTTTTTTGAGGAGTTCTGCTCTTGTTGCCCAGGCTAGAGTACAATGGCTACCATCTCAGCTCACGGCAAACTCCTGGATTCAAGTGATTCTCCTGTCTCAGCTTCCTGAGTAGCTAGGGATTACAGGTGCCTGCCACCGTGCCTGGTTAATTTTTGTATTTTTAGTAGAGACAGGATTTCACCATGTTGGCCAGGCTGGTCTCGAACTCCTGACCTCAGGTGATCCACCCACCTTGGCCTCTGAAAGTGCTGGGATTAAAAGCATGAGCCACCGAGCCTGGCCTATAGTTTCAGATTTCACGTTTAGGTCTTTAATCCACTTCAAGTTCATTTTTGCATATGGCGTTAGGTAAGGGTCCACCCTCATGCAACTGGGTGTCTCGTTTTCTAACTCCTTTTGCTGAATAGACTGTCCTTTCCCCACTGAATGGCCTGGTTGAAGATCGTTTGATCATAAGCAAAGGGTTCGTTTCTGGGCTTTTCATTCTATTCCCTAGGTCTGTGTGTCTGTCTGTATGCCACCACCACACTGTAACTCTGTAGTAAGTTTTCAAATCAAGAAGTGCAAGATCTCCAACTTTATTTTTTTACAAGATTGTTTTGGCTATCCAGAATCACTTGAGATTCCACATGAATTTTAGGATAGATTTTTCTATTTCCACAAAAAGCATTATTTAAATTTGGTAGGGATTGCATTGAATCTGTAGAGTGCTTTGGGTAGCACTGACACCTCAACGATACTAAGTCTTCCAAACCATGAACATGGGATATCACCCTGCATTCCCCCTCAGGCCATGTCTTTCTCTGATGCCATA